ACCGCTGACGGCGCGGGAAAACTGAGCGGGAAAGTCACGGCGCAAAACTCACCTGAACGTCAGGAGATCTTCAATAAAACAAGTGTTTTCCCGCCGCGGACTTAACTCCGTCACGTGTCCCAAAGAAAGACTCAACAGGATGTTGACATGATGATGAAGATGATGTCCTACCTTCCTCTGTCCGCGCGCCTTCACACTGTCCTCGTGCTGCACCGAGCCCGCGGCCGCCCCGTGTTCCCGCCTCTCCCCTCCTGTGTGCAGCTCTGCCTCACCGGAGAGTCTGACCTGCAGCTGCTGCAGCTTCAAACTGAGCTGGACTCACTTCTGCTCTCAGGCTGCCGGTCCGCCTTAAAGGGACAGTTCAGCTGTTTTAAAGGGGCTTCACGTGTGACAAAGTTACACTGTCAAAAATTACCTGCAATATTTTTGTTTTATTCAGACTTTTATAAGAAAAAAAGAACAAATTTTTTTTTCAAAGTCAGTTTTTCACCATATGATTCATACATTTATAAATGTCATAGTTTATAAACAAAATATTTAACTTACAAATTAAATATTTAGTTAACAAGCTAAATATTTAACTTGTGACAAATATTTAGTTTTGAGCTAAATATTTAGCTAGCAACTTAAATATTTAGCTAGCCACCTAAACATTTAACTTAAATATTTAGCAAGCAAGTTAAATATTTAGGTAGCTACCTAAATATTTATGTTGCAACCTAAATATTTAGGTAGCTAGCTAAATATTTAAGTTAAATGTTTAGGTAGCTAGCTAAATGTTTAAGTTTCAAGCTAAATATTTAGCTCAAAACTAAATATTTAAGTCACAAGTTAAATATTTAGCTTGTTAACTAAATATATAATTTGTAAGTTTAATATTTAGTTTATAAACTATGACATTTATAAATGTATAAATCATATGGTGAAAAACTGCCTTTGAAATATAAATCTGTTCTTTTTTTCTATATAAAAGGATAAATAAAACAAAAATACTGGTGGTAATTTTTGACTGTGTAACTTTACAAACGACACCCCATAGTCTTCCACAACTTCTTCTTCCTTCTATTTTTTTCCAAGGTGTTCTAACCTTTCCTCATGGTGTGTCCAAAAGAACTGGCCTGTCCCAGCATGATCTTTTTCTAAAGGGATCATTTTTCATTTGCTCTTGTCAACATTTCTCAAGTCCTGGTTTTATTAGTTTGAACAAACTATGAGATCTATTGCCTGTTGTTTCATTAGTATGCAGCAATTTTATGTTTTTTTGTTGGTATACATTTTTGTAAACATGTCTGAGTGTTTTTGATAAACTAACCGTACATGAGACACGTGTCAGTGCYGCCTCACAATCGCTGGATTATATTCTCACAAACAAACATAACGTAAACTAGAAGCCGGAGATCTTCATATAACCGGTAACAACAGACTTCTTACTGTTTGTCCGGCCTCTGTGTTTCAGATTTGTCAAWTCAGCTTCATTTGTTCGGCAAAAACAAGAAAAAAACTGTCAACATGGCACAACACAATGTCAGCTCCGGACACACGGTTTTAAAATAATCATAAAGARGAGACTGACGGGACTACTGCCTGTCCTTTCAGCTCCTCGCTGTTTCTCAGCAACTTAAACAAACTCTCTTCAACGTCCCAAACAAACAATCCATCCTGAGACTTGGAACAAAGTAGTGAAACAAGCGTGGCTTTTTCTTTAAGAAAATCACATTCTAACAGGGTTGATTATGAGGAAAATAACAGGAGTCCTAAAGTTTAGAGAAAACGAGTCTCACACACAGGATTTTAAAGAGATGCTAACWGATTTGTATGCATTTTTAAATCTCTTTTAATGGAAATAGTCACATAAATATTGAGAAGTAATTACCTGTTTTGGTAAAATAATAATTCAAAACAGCAGCGTATTTTCTGTATAAAAGTCAAATCTGTTCTCTCCACTAAAACTAAGATGGCTAATGAGAGCTTAATGTTATTTTAAATGTTTTTTTTTATTTTTTAGTCATGTTGAACATGCAAAATTAGAAATAAACATAATTCAGTTAAGAACTCCCATGCTTTCATTTACTGAAGCTAGAGTCTGTTCTGTTGTAACAACTTGTCCAGAGAACAGGGAATAAAAAACTTCCAAAAAGACTGATTTTCCTCCCTAAATAACTCAAATAACAAATCCGTAACTAAAAATATGRTGTGTTTGCATAAAAAAATAATCACTCTGACCCATTCAGTTATTCCCAATGGTCCATTCCGACAGATAACACACACCCCCTCCTCTGTTCCAGCTGTTGTGCACAATCCAAACATCTGTCTATTTTCAGACATCCTCTGGGAATACCACCAGCTTTAATTTATCTCTGTCTAACTGTGTACCCCCTAACAATACTGACGTCACCGTACCATTCATGGGTCGCTTTGGAGGCTCTGGACCTTCTGGGAAAATGGGAGGCAGAGGAGGATGCTCTGTGCTGCCTGTCTTCACGAGTTCATCATCATCTGTAGAGGCCGTGGTGTCTGATCCCAGATCAGCTGGAGACTACAGGAATAATAAACAATAGTTTAACAAATTAATTAGAACAGATGAACTAAAATGACACATGATCCTTGAATAAAGGCAAACCACCGAGTAAAGCCAAACAGTGCAGAGTTGGTTTTGCTATACATACAGAAGATGAAGGTTTAAAGTATAAAAATGTGTAAAAAATCAGTTTCTGTGCAAAAATTGGAAAATTATTATTTTATTTTTATTCAGAAATGAATTCATTTCATTAAAAACAAAATAACTATATACAATAGAAGAAAAAATATACAAATTAAGTAAAATGAAAGGCAGCAGGATGAAAAAGAACAATCCTACATCTGCTCTGTTTTTCCCAAGAATATGTCCAGTGATTTACAAAAACATATAAAACATCTTAACAATCATTACTTTTTGATGAAATTTCATAAATCAAATTTACTGTATTTACRTTTTTCAGAGCTCAGTGATTATTTAATTATTTCTGTATTGGTAAATGATCCTCAGTGACATAACACATTTTAACCTTATTTAAACACTTAATATGGCACTGTACAACATTTTGAAATATACTTTGTGCTGCATAGTTAGTACTTTTTGTCAGTGTTGTATAAAGTACCTCAAAGTGATACTTGTGTAAAAGTACAAGTATCTTATCATAAAAATTTGGTAAAAGTTAAAGTCTTCTCTAAAAATATTACTTGAGTAAACGTCTTAAAGTATCTGATATTTTTTGTACTTATGTATCAAAGGTAAATTTCTGACACAAAATCTACTTAAGTATTAAAAGTAAAAGTACTGAGRAAAAGTGAGCAGTTAGATTTTCCAAAATGACATTTATTGGGAGGTGACTTCTCCAAAGAATATTTTATCTAACATCATGCAGCTGTGATGGGTTGTGTACAAGCTAATAGGGTGTCAGAATAGTATATATGTATTTATACTTCTTATCTAACCACAATTAAATTCACTCTATCCAGGAGACACAATTCATCAGGATAGTATTTTTTAAGTAATAACAACTTGAAATAAAATAGGAGTAATGACTTTCTACTTCTTACCTTTTTAAAAAATGTAGTGAGTAGAAAGTACAGATAATTGTGTAAAAAAGTAATGAGTAAAAGTAAAAAGTAGGCTACGCTGAAAAATAATGACTCAAGTAGTACAGATAACCAAAATCTCTGCTTAAGTACAGTAACAAAGTATTTCTACTTAGTTACTTTACAACTCTGCTTTTTGTCTATAATCTAATCAGAATATTATTAAAAAACATTTGGAAAGGATCTGAGAACATTCAGAACAAAGACCACTTCTCTATCCTCAAATTTTTAAAAAAGTTTTTCAATGGATAATTTTAAATACTAACAACCTTTTTTGGACATCTATGACATGTTTATTATTTTTTTTGTGAAAAAAATGAAATAATTTTGTCACTTTAATGTAAACAGTGTAGCAGTTTCTTATAGAAACAGACCTGGGGTGAGGTTTTCTCCCTGACCGCGGCCTCCTGGCGGTCCAGCTGCTCCTCAGAGTTGGCTGCTCGGCCCGCAGTCTCCTCCACCCTCTGGGTAATGTCCTCCATCCTCTGGGTCACCTGGCTCACCCTCTGCTCGCTCCGCCTCACCAGCTCGGCCGTCTCGAGGGCGCTGCTGACCATCACCTCGATCCTCCCGATGGTCCCCAGGAGCCCGTCTGTGCTCACCTGCTCCTGGCTTTGTTCCTGCCCTGCAGACTTGATCTTCTCAGGCCCTGAAAGCGCAGCTGCGTCTCCCTGCTCCTTCACCGCCTTCTCCACAGTTGTGTCTGCTTCCTGTCCYTCCAAGCCATTGCTCGTTTTGCTGCGAGGGACACCACGTGTGGGTTTTTGTTCGACACGCTTCTGTCCAGATCCTAAAGTGGTTTGCAGGTGACAAAGCTGCTTTCTCATATCATTGCTGGCGTCCTCTTCTTGCTTCGCTTGGTTCTCAGAAAGCTCCTGCAGCAGGTTTGTGTCTTTCCTGCTGATCGTTTCCTCTTCCACARTGTGGCCTCTCCACCAGTTCAAAACTGCCACCTTCTTGGCCTCCTGGGTTTGATTCTGACTTCCAGTTTGGCTTTGATTGTTCTCCTTCTGCTGCTCTTCGTCCTTCTCCTTCCAAACAAACTTGCACAGCTTCAGCTCCTGCTGCCTGAAACCACAACCACAGCTTTATAAACACCTCTTTTACACACTATTACGTAGCTACCAAGGCCTCCTAAAAGTGCACTTATCCCTCATAGAGTTTCCCTCAAAGAAGATAGTGACTCCTAATGGAAATGGTCATAAATATACTGTCAAAGCCTGACACCATTTTTATTAGCTTTGCTTCTGAGAAGAGAGGCTAACCTCGACTGTACCCGTTCTCTTACCATAACAGGAGAAAGAGAGAGAAACGCTCACATACACATGAGGAAGCTGATGTTTGATGGTTGTCTGTTGTTGGTGAAAAGGCCTCTGCTGAACAGCAGAAAAGTCCTGCATGTGAAACACAACAGGTAAGTTTCATTGTAACCCCTGTCCCTTTAATGCACTGCCTCCTCACCCGCTCGAGAGGATTGTTGTGCAGACGATGGGTTTTTTCTTTGCTCTTGATTCTCTGAATCTGAGCGTCGTCTGTGTGCTTGTGAAAGGATTGCACACTTTGGTTGTCCAGTGCTTTCTGATGCTGCCGCTGACAAAACAAACCAAACAACAGTCATGGATACAGTAAAATGTAAGGTACCACGAAAAGACGACAAAAAGCACTAACCTGATGAACATCCTGCATCTCGCTCTGCAAAGAGTGACAGCTTGACAGAGGCGCTGAACTCTGAGGACAGACAAAATGTCTACCGTACCTGTCAGATTTCAGCACAATAGTTTTAACATCGCCAGTCAACAAGTGTTTATGCTGTTTACAAATATTTTTTGCGCTGACTCGTATGACTCTTGTAGTCCTTCCAATTCTTATTTGAAATAAACCAAAACATTTCCTTCAAGTTCTTTGCTTTATTAAAAATGTGTAACAGTTCTGGTATTAAAAGTTTTGTTTTTGTGTAAATTRTGTTCAAACACGTGTGTGACTAAAGTGGTGTTTTTTCATTTGTATGTGTGAATTTGTTTACACCTTAGGGCTTCAATAGAATTGTTTCTGTTTACATGGGACTAACGTGGATATAAAAAAGAAACGTCAAATGCAAAACAATGTAAGGAGTGGTTGATGCGAACACAGTTTATTTGAAGCCTGTGTGACATACTGTWGACAAAGAAAACAATATCTAAAGAAAATACACAGGAAGGCAAACTGATGCAAATGAAGCAGAACACAGATTCTTAAAACAAGACAGAAAGTGARACCAACTAATCCTAGCCAACAAAAAACAAGATAAACCCAACAAATCCAAAGATTTGAGGAACTTAACATCAAAACTGTAGTGTCAAGTGTAAAATAAAATGTTTATAAAATGCCACATTTTTCCTTATTTAGCTCACTTTCTGAGTGTAAAATTCTAGTTAACAAATTTCCATTAAGATTTGATTATTAGCTCACTGTTCTTACATTTTGCTAATTTTTACTAAATCCATTAATCCATTATCTTTTACCTGCTTTCCTTTTTTTAGGGTCACGGGGGTCACTGGTGCCCAWGTCCAGTGGTCCCTGTTGGAGGGGTAGAGTACACCCTGGACAGGTCGCAAGTAAATGTGTAAACCTAAATGTTAAAGGTAAATCTTAAATGTTGAAGCTACAATGATAAACCMTACATTTAAGAATTTTGGAATGGAAACAGCCTTTTGCTGTTGGTGTGCGGCTTTTTTGTGATGTCATCATCCTGCGACAAAAGCACACACCAATGCTAAAGATGGCATTTAAAATATAAATGCAAAATATGCTCCTATAAAACAATTTGGATGGTATCTGTGGTCCGGCAATTTGAAGTGCAGCTCAGACTCATCACTGTACAGTTCTTTCATTGTCTGACGCCTTGACTTTTCAGAATTATATTTTGCATAGTGGTATTAATTTATATTTTCAGATCTTCCAAGGTGCCAATTATGGAACTCTCTGTGCATTGTTGCCCAAATCAAATTCTGGAAGTGGTCATTCAACTAGATCTGTTACAAAAGGACAACTGATATTACCAACTTTTAAAAACTGTTACACAGTAAAAAATGGAGTGTTAAATTTGCAGTGTTAAACTTTTCAGAGGTAATTTCAGCTCCCCAAGTGTTATTTTAACATTTTCTAAGTAAACTGACATCCAGTGTTGGTGTTAATTCACAGAGTTGATTTC